AGAGAGAGAGAGAGAGAGAGAGAGAGAGAGAGAGAGAGAGAGAGAGAGAGAGAGGGAGAGAGAGAGAGAGAGAGAGAGGGAGGCTCAGGGAGCAATACTAATGGTTAGTCAACAGCGTTCATCCAAATAGCATTGACGCGACTTTTTTTTACTTCACATGAAGATTATTAAATCTTCTATTTCTCAGCTGGCTAGGTGCCAGATTCTCTCTTGGTTAAAAAAGGGTAGTTATTTTCAGAAACTGGTTAAGAAGTGTTGTTATAGACATATTAATTCGGTTACATGGGCTGCTGCTTAGCAGTTAGCAAATTGGCATTGTAACGGAAACATTAATCATGCCAATCCAATTATGTGATTTTATATTGCCAACGGCACATCCTGAGATTTCCTTATTCTATTAGTCATAATTAAACTCACAAAAACAGGGGAATTCTATTATTTCCCCATGGTAAAGTTGCTAATTAGTAGCAAAAGTAAAAGTAAAAAGATTCGTTCGAATGCTATAGCATCGACATAAGTTTTCATCTGCTGTTGCAATGGTGAATGTTTTACCTTCAGAACGTCTTCATTAGCAATTGGTGGAGGGAGTTCGCCTTGTTGCTTGTGTGCATGAGCAAGTCATTGTGATTAATTTGTTGTGCTCTTCTCGGACGCACGTTGTAATACCAACTAATTCAATCACCGAGTATTCGTTTTTGATATAAAAGTATTCCATTTTGCCATTTTTTTAGGAATTTCAATCCGATGTAAGAACCTTAAGAAGCAAGAAAAGGTTTGAGACTGGCAACCCAGTACCCTTAAGAGAAGCCCCTCTGAGGGAGAAGCTCAGAAAGGGTCGACAGAGCCCGCCGAAAGACAAGGAGGAAGACGAGACGCCACCAAAAGAACAAGATAAGCAGAAGAGCAGCAGTTCTTCTCCCACGTGCAGAAACTTGGCAAGAGTGACCTACTCCAGAGAAGAAAGAAGCCTAATTCATTCAAAGGGTAAGGAGAGGGACGGCGAATCGCAGGCGAGGGAGAACCCAGCAGAAGCAGCCGAGGAGACGGCGAGGGAGGGTCACCGTGGAGGAGCGGCGAGGGAAGGTTTAGGGACCAGCGGCAGGGAGGCAGCGATGCGAGAGAGGAACAGCAGGATGAGTAGAAAGGTTCTAGCAGGAAGCTCCCCGGCCAAGGCCCAACAATCGATGACAGGTACTACACTTATCATTCTTATCGTTCAGGTGAGCGGTCCCATAACTGCTTCTATCGAACCAACGACTTCCGCATTATGCAACATATTCGTAAAATCTCTTCCCGCTCCACATTTCACAATACCTCAACCCTTCCCCCCTCCCGGCACATCCCACCTCCGCTTTGAATAGCCCCTCCTCTCCTCCCCATCTTTAATAGTGTATCAGTCCACTCCCTCCCACCTCATCAGCTTCCCTTTACATCTCACAGCGCTTCCACATACACCTCCCTCCTCAACTCACAGCGCAGGTTTTACGGCTCCCTGGTCAGAGTGCCAGGAAAAGTTCAGTGTTGGATCAATACAAAACTAATTTTAACGTGGACTTGTTGCTCGTGGCTTTGTCTTTGTAGAACATCCTCCGAATGAGGTTTGCGTGATTAGTGGCTACACGACCGTAGGCAGCATTAGTCGCGTGTGTGCTATAAATAAATATATAAATATCAATATATAGGCCTGCTAGCAGTCGTAGTGCGTCAATTTGTCGCGGTAACCCTTTGGTATTAAGTGCAGCTGTAGGCCCACTGAGCTGAAATCATGCGATACAATCTTTCCATTTATGTTTCGCTCCCGTCTTTCCGTATAACAGTAGTTAGCTAGACGCACATCAAGAATATCTGGTTATCGTGATTCTGGTTATTCGTTGTGTATACTCAACCAGCTAGCACACAGTCATGAGCATTTAACTGACACGTGCTTAATGTCTACTTTAGCTATAGGTAAGATGTTACAAAACAACCCTACAAGATAGGAATAACTGTGAAATACTGTAACTTAACTTGTGCTACCTGTGTTTAACTTTCGATAATAGATTGATACAAATTTTTTTAGCCACGCAAATTCGATCATATTGCTGATGTCTATTGCCTCTAGTAAACACCAGTGTTTCCCCTGCATTGACATGAGCGAGGCGCGTCGCCTCGCTCAAACTCTCAGCCGTCACACAGAAATTTGTCCAAAACACCGCCTCGCTGACTAAAATCACTGTTCTTCCATCAGTAAACTCCACTTTATTGAACTAAAATCGAAATAATAGCTTAAAAGTTATAATGCACCAAATTGCACCATTTTTTTCTAAAAAATTTCGGGGGGCATGCCCCCGGACCACCCTAGCTGGGGGAGCACCTACGGTGCTCGCTTTGCTAGGACCTCGAAACGCGCAAACTCAACACACGTAAAATTGACCACCTCACGGACCTTTTTGGCCAGGGGAAACAGTTAACACTGTACATACACAATATTTTAATAAATCAATGAGCTACCACAAACACATCCAAAGTTTATAAAGTTGGTTGGAGTGAGTTAATTTTAGTATCAGATATCAAAACCTTTTGTAATTTAATGGCCTATCGTATTAAGTTCTTGGCCCATGTAGACCTATAATTTTATTGGTATATTTGGCAAATATATATAAATATTATAATATATAATATCAGTGGCGTTGATATAATAATGATGCTCGTACGCCATTTAATTGTGCCAATTAGAAATTCTGACAACATATCAAGCAATACAATGTTCAAGGAATACTCTCTTCCACGTGTAGTTGACCTATAGCCTACGTGTAAATAGTGTGAAGCTAAGGTACGTGTTATATCACATGGCTGTCTCAGAAGCCTGCATGTATAATCCGAGCAAGTCTGTGAACTAATACATGTTTGTTTTATATGCGCAATGGTTGTTTCTGATGCTGCATGTATAGTACGCGAACAGTGAATAGTTTTAAGACTTACTATTCATCATTGAAGGTTTTTACAGTTGTCACCCGGGCACCGTAAATCCTGTAAAATGCAAATAATCGTTTCGCTGTCATTTTACTTACTATTTGTCATTTTCATGGCTGCATTTAACATGCGTGCATAAGTTATGGCGGCTGCCTCCGTTGCACAATGAAACAGTGCGTGAGTTCAGAAGTCATATATACCCCTGCCATGTTGCATCCATGCAAGTGCGTATTAATCAAACGAGACTTTGTCGTTGAGCTAACTTCGGCTGGTGCGCGTGCGCCTTTATCCGATTTCACCAAGAACTGTTTACTCTCCGTTCTGGCTGGTGTCAATATATCATCAGATCAGTCGTATCCAATCAGAACACAGTTGCTATGGCAACAACTGATTGCGTTTTATTGCCAATTAATGGGTTACTACTTTTCGCTCCGACCCTCCCTGATATAATATTTGCAAGTTCTGCAAATGTAATTGTGGATTCCATTATCTTTGCCGTGGGCGGGCATGCATATCGTCGTCAGCGAAGATTTCTCGCTCTTTCAGCCGCAGTAAAAGTGGATAGAATATCAATGATGGGACACAGTAAAATGATAATCATTAATTGATGTGTATACAAGCACGCGCGCACACACACAGGCAATTGATGGTAATATAGTGCAGTGTGGTTTTCTCCTCAGTCCGCGGCCAGAAAATGACAAGTTCAAATGCATTAGTTAAATTGGGGTGACAGCGAGAGAGTCTGCGATTCGTGCGAGACGAGAAGCGGTGTTGTTTTATCATTGCTGTCGGTAACTCCTGCAACTTGCATGGGTGCGATCTGTGTCCAATTATTCATGGATTACAACTGCGGAAACCTCTGGTCGAATGTGGCGCCTCCTGGTGCCCGAATCTCACGATATCTCTTTGCATGATTTTCTGTTCTTTTTTTTTCGTCCGCTATAGTTGGCTGGCAGGTGTCCGTCAACGCATAGAGTTCTATTTGTTTACAACTATTCCAGAAGAAAATTCATGGTAGCAGCGTGTGTTTTCAGTGAGTGAAGTACGTGTGGTATGAATGAACTGAGGTGGGTATAGAAAGTTTAACGAACTTTCAACTCTCCCTTGCTCTCAAGAAGAGAGTGTATCAAAGCGAGTCGGGGTCCGTAGTCTAAAGTTCAAAACTAAAGCCATACGTTGATGTGTACTCAGCTGGAGGTCTAACTAATTTCCGATAAATTCAAATCTGAAACTGAAAAATTGTTTTTGATTATTTGAATCATTTTTGATTTAATTCACGAGTTAGAATTATTCACCAATGGTACCCTGCTCAGTATGTGAAGAATAACTATATTTGATAGCGTATAATTATGAGTGCATATATGTTGGTTCTTATCTATTTTGGCAATTGATGTCTTTGCTTTAAATTAATGCGATTCCGTGTCATTCACTGGTTGCTGTAGGAATGATTTAACTTGTGGACGGACTGGAATTTAGAGTATAGAAAATGTTTCTAGTCGTAAAACACGTGATAGTCACTAGTATAATTGGTTTTGGCATCACCTATGTGTGCTCCTGCATTCATTCTTCAAGCAGCCTAACCACGGTAGCAGCTCACACCCAGACGCGTTCGTTATAATGTTCCTGCCTTCCTGCGTGTATATTAATTTTACCCTTTACTGCCTAAACTAGCAACTATGAACCGCCGCCTTAGTTTCAATGTTATGACCTTACTATAATATATGTGTACGTTGACCTCTGCTGCCTAAACTACGCTAGCAACTATGAACCGCCGCCTTAGTTTCAATGTTATGACCTTACTATATGTGTACGTTGACCTCTACTGCCTAAACTACGCTAGCAACTATGAACCGTCGCCTTAGTTTCAATGTTATGGTCTGACTATATGTGTACGTTGACCTCTACTGCCTAAACTACGCTAGCAACTATGAACCGCCGCCTTAGTTTCAATGGTAAGACTCTACTATGTGTGTACGTTGACCTCTACTGCCTAAACTACGCTAGCAACTATGAACCGCCGCCTTAGTTTCAATGGT